AATGCCGAGCGCGCCTCCACTGCAGATGGCTCCTGAGGGGGTGATCTCTGGTCTCCTACTTCTTTACCTTCCTTTCCTCCATGAGCAAGAGAGACAGAGACACAGAGAGAGACGGAGACAGAGCTAGAGATGGAGACGGCGCCCCGCGGCCCTTGTGCCACGATCCACCCCATTCTCAGCCGGTCTTGATCGTGGGTCTGTGAGGACAGGGCTCTGGGGACCCGAGCCTGGGCCCTTTGCAGGGGTCTCCCCAGCATGCATCCCTGGGGTGACGACAGCCCTAAGCCAGGCGCACCCCAGTCTGCGGTCTGCCTGTTCTAGCACACGCCCTCCGGGCTATCTGCTCCCGAATGCCGGAGCTGTCCCTGGAGGTGGCAGTGCCGGGACCCGGGGCCGCGGGACTTACTCTCAGGTGTGAGGTGCTCTGGTGGCAGCGTCAGGCGCTGAGTCGGTGTGGGCCAGGCTGCACCTGCCCGAGGTGGCCCATTGCTGCCCCGTGAGCGGTGAGGGCACGGCCCTGGGGACCTGGACAAGAGGGCCAGAGAGGAGGTCACACTTCATGGAAGGTGAGTTTAAAACTTCATGTTAAGAATTTTTAAAATATTTTAGAAAGTCAGTATTAACATTTTAAAACTGTAAGTGATTTTAAATATTCAATAAGAATATTCCGAAGCGTTCTGGATGTGAGTCCCATTCCTAGCACGATTTCCACCTCTAGTTTTCAGACCAGTGCGGCGTCGGGAGGTGAGCGAGGAAGACGGACACCTCTTGGTGCTGGCTTAGAGCCGAGGTGGAGGTGGGGCCCAGAGAGCCCACATCGTGGCCGAACAGTCCAGGGAAGGCAGACCTGGCTCCTGGAGGGCTCACAACAAACCCTATGTTCTGAGGGCCCAGAGGGCGGGGGCGGGGTGGCCCAGGGTCTCTGAGCCAGGAGGCTTCATCAGGCATCCTGTACCTTGCCCAGCCTGGGTGTGGTCTGGGGGAGCCAGTGGGCTCTGGCCAGCGTCCTGGTGAGGGCCCCTCCCTGTGGCTCATCCGCAGAGCGTTCGGAACCACTGAGTGCTCAGAAGTGAGGAAGACGGAGTCTCATGATGGTGCCCGGGCCCCAGACGTCCCTGCCACACCTGTTTCCACGGGGGCTAGGTGGCCTGGGGGGGCCCGAGGGTAGACGTCCCTGCCCATCTCACCGTGTCCTGCCCGACCTCTCTGCGAAGTGAGACGGCAGAAATAAGCCGGTAACTGGCAGAGCAATTTGCTGAAATACTGGGTTGTCAGGACAGCCAGGGCATGGTTTCTACGTAGATATGCATCATGACTTTTCTGACGACTCAGTAAAAGCTTTAAGAAGTTAAAAAGAAGAAAGAAAGTTGTCATGATGCGTGGATAATCTGACTTTTCATAGAGAACAGTTGTGTTATTAGACGTGATAGGCAGCTTTCAGATACACAGTCAACACTCCACATCGACCGGCTTCCTCACACCACGAAGGCTCAGAAACTCGAAGCCTGCCGTTTGCCGGAGTGTGACGTAAAGCCCGCAGGAACAGCCCCAGAGATGCAGGGACCCTTACGGAAGGGGCGGTAGGTCCAGTAGGGTAGGTCGGGACACGTGCGAGCCTCACGGACCCGGTGTGGTGTGCTCAGGCTCTCCGGGGCACCTGCTCAGGGAGACAGTGACGGTGACGGCGAGAACCAGAGGCCCCGTGGAGGCGCCATCGCCAACGGCCACAGCAAGGATGAGAACAAAGCAGGCTGAGACGGCTTTACCAGACAGCGCCACACACAGTGCGCCCAGCCCAGGCGTGACCGTCTGTCCTTGTCTGTGTGGACACGGGTAAATGACACGACAGGCAGAGACTCTCCGTGGCCGACACGGGTGCAGGGCGGTCCAGACCGCGTCCCAGCTCTCCTGGCTCCGAAGGTTTGGTTCTGTTTTCACAACACTGTGCTACCTTTTCACCAAATGAACCGCAAAAATCTCTTCACCTGTGTGTGATGTCCCTGGTGTTTCTCCACAAAACTCTTCCCCACAGGGAGAGTCAGAGCCTGCACCGACCCCGGCCAGCACCAGGGCATGACTCTTAGAAGGAGTGTGTCTCCTGGGAGCCAGCGGGCCTCACTGCTTCCGGCTCTGCTGTGGGTGTCTGGCTGCGCCCCAGGTCCGCCCTTGCCCTGCACTGGATTTGGGAGACCGCGGCTCCCCACTCCTTCCCAGCTTCTGCTCCCGGGCATGCCCTTGGTTACGTGCAGCAGCAGACAGGCCTTCAGGCAGGTGAGGCGTTCTCCTTGCGAGACAGGCAAGTGGAGTAAAGGGGTACCTGCTCTTTCAGTTATCAGAGGGTGTGCACTCACCAGAGAGAAGACACGCCCCTCGCCGTTTCCCCACTGTCAGCCCTGGCACACCCACATGGCCAGCGTGCCTGCCTTGCCTCCCTTTCATTTTTAGAGTGAGAATTTTGCTATCAGGCACGCGCTCACCGGAGAGACAGACAGAAATACAGAAAGCTAGAAATCACCCCCCAGGGGTTGGCCACACTGCAATCCCGTCCCCTCTATTCTCTTGTGCATGCACACGCACGTAGCCAGCATGAGTTTCAACTCACCGGGTCTGGGACTGGAACTGCGGTCACCCACATGGAAGTTACGACATCCACTTGTCCCCCAGAATGTTTTACAAGCCACCAGGGTTGGGATTCGAACCTGCCAGCCATGTGGGATTTGGCTCAGCACCTAGCCACTGCGCCGTGGGCTGGCGTACACGTGGAGCAGCCTAAACACACGGGAGAGACGTGGTAGGACCCAGGACGAGAGTAACAGTGTGGGCTAAGCTTGGACTTGGATTAAACATGCATATTGCCATCTCCATGGTAACGTGAAAATGACAGACACAAGCACAGAACTTTCAGGAGACCACACGGGAGAAAAATGCTGTCCCCATGGCTGCTCACCAGTACCTTCACAATGCCCACCCCGGCCAGGTCCCAGAGCTCTCTCCAGGAAGAAAAGCTCAGAAACCAGGGCTCCTTCTATCTGAGCTGGGCCTCGCACCACATGTCAGCAGGTGACCGGCTGCACTATAGGGAGTGCTGGGCATGGGAGGACAGCTCAGTGGCCAATGACGGTTAGTGCGATGGTCAGAGGAGGCATTGCTGAGGAGGTGCCCCAGGGCGGAGGAGCTGGCCAGAGGGCAGTGGGGCTGGGCGGGCGAGCAGACGGCACCGTGGGTTGGGGCAGCTGTAGGTGGACGGGGTGTCCCAGCTGCCCAGAGCAGCAGCGGATGGAACTGCGGCCCTGCATCCCAGAGCACGTGGCATTCCCGGCCCCCCCTCTGCCGAGAACCAGGGCCATGCACCCTCTGAGCCTGGAGCACCGTGAGGGAGCGCGGAGGGGCGGGGGCTCCTGGCTGCCACTCCTGAGCCGATGGCCAGCAGGCGGGAAGTGGGCGCACAGTGAGGAGGGATGAGTCAGGAGGAGGGAGGAGATGGCCTGCAGGGGCGACGAGGGTGGACTCCTTCCTGATGGTGAGGGGTTGCCGGGGGAAGGGAGGATGAAGGCCAGCCACGGGGGACTGTACTCACTGTGGGGGCCTCAGCCAGGGGCCCGGGCCTGCCCAACCCAGCGTGCTCACAGCATATGCCCCAGGGTCACAAGCTCACGCTCCAAGCACAGCACACTGCAGAGGGGGTTCGTGGCTGCAGCCAGAGACCACACCCTCCAGCCACGATGGGTACACAGGGAAGCGACAGGCGTGGGCAGCAGAGGCTCCGCACATAGTCTGGGTCTGCCTGAAAGCAAAGTGGGTGGCCGGGCAGCGGGCAGGGCGGAGAGCTGGGGCCACATGTGCCATCAGAAAGCCAGTTAGATACAACGGTCAGTCAGGGTGGGCATATCGGACAGACGGCAGATGCGGGACTGAGAGGAGAGGAATTTTATTCTGTTACCGTACTGCAGGAACGACACAAAAGGAATATTGGAGAGGGTACAGAAGATTTCAATAACAAATAGGACTGGACTGCCATTTATGGAACAGTCTACCTCGAACTCCAGAAAATCAACTTTTCAACTGTGAAAGAGCTTCCGTCTCGGGTGAGCAGGCTGCGCACTGAGCACAAAGCCCGTCTCAGGAAATCTGGATGCGAGAGTGACAGACGACGTCTCCACAGCAATGGAATTACAGTAGTAATTATTAACAGCAAAATAGGGGACCAGCAGATGGCGTCATGGTTACGTCGCTGGACTCCCACAGAGTGGACGGCAATTTGAGTCCCACACCCAGTGGCTTAAAACTCATGCTGGGCGCGTGTGTGCGTACTCCAAATCCTGAGAGGAGAATGGAGGCGAAGGAACTGAGGCATGGCCATTCCCCGGGGAGTGATTTCTCACTTTCTGTCTCTATTTCTCTGTCTCTCTGGTGAGCGTGCACGCCCTATTGCAAAAATCTCTCTTTAGAAAAAGATATAAAGAATGTCCCAAATATTTGGAACCACATAAAATACAGGTAAATAACTCATGAGACAAATGGAAAATCAAGAGAAAGAAAGTATTTCAAACTCTAAGATCATAAAAACATCAAAATATTGGCAGCACAGCTCAACTGTGCTCCGAGTGAACTTTATAGCATTAAACACGGATAGGAGGAGAATGCTCAGAATCAACAGTCTCAGCGTCTATGAAAGATACTCAGATAAAACCCAGTAGAAGGAAGGGAAAGGACATGGGAATGGTGAGGTAGGAAGTAAAGTCAAAGATGAGAGAAAAAATCAACCAGAATTTGGTTCATTGAAAAAATTAAGATTTGTAAACATAGAGCAAGAATAAGAGACAGAAAAACAGAGGAAGTGAGGAATGGCACACACACATACCCCGGGGGGATGGCCAGACCACAATCCCTTCCCCTCCATTCTCCTCTCAGGATTTTGGATGCACATGCACACGCCCAGTGAGATTCTCAAGCTGCCATGTCGGGGACTCAAACTGTGGTTGGCCATGTGGGAATCCAGCACCTTAACCACCACACCGCCATGCCACCTGGGAGCATATCCAATCTTTCTTTTTCTTTTTTTATAAGATTTTTGCCACAGGGCGTGTGTGCTCACCAGAGATACAGAGAGAAACTGAGAGACAGGAAGTGAGAAATCACCCCCTGGGGGCAATGGCCATGCCACAATCCCTTTTCCTCCATTCTCTGTTCAGGAGTTTGGGCACGCACACACATGTGCTCGGCATGAGTTTTAAGCTGCTGGGTCTGTGACTCGAACCGCTGTCGACTACATGGGAGTGCAGCGATGTAACCATTGTGTCATCTGCTGGTCCCAGCATATCCAATCTTAATACTTACATGGGAGTTCATATTCAGTGCAATTAAAGAAAAAAGAATAACAGTTGAAAAGAAAAAAGTAATCATTTATCTATCTGCAGACGACATGGGTGGCAGTAAAGAAAATTCTAGGAGCTTTATAATTAATAATTGCATTTAGTAAAACTGCAAATGGCAAAGTTAATACACAAACATCGATGATCTAC